AACCCACCAGAAGAAGGGCTTTACTTCGTTCCAGTAAGATACCGCTATCACAGTCTGTGCTGCTGCCTTCGCTGTTCCACTGATATTATGTGTCAGCGGTGAAGTTACCTACACAATACATGCATCATCTTTCTGATTTAGATTCGTTGATGTATCTCGAATGATTGTTCATTGAATCAAGCATTACAATAAATCTGATTAAATATCACTGCAGTATCGCTATTATTATCACTGTTATCAGCATCAATCTTGATTATTATTATAGTTTTCGATGTGCATTGGACTTTTGCAATTATAAACAACAAAGAATGAAGTAAGATAATTACCTGAATTTGCCATCCAGTTACATAACCCATCATGAAGCCGAAAGCACCCGAAATGCTCATCAAAATCCAGAAATGAGGTGAGAATAGCAACGGAAAATAAATCACTTCAGTGAACTCTCCATTGAACAGCATCAATGGCAGGAACAGAAATACGGCATTCGCGTTGTTGTACCTCAATTTTTAGTGCACCATTAATACTTTTATGAATGAATTTGATTTTCAAGAAATCTGTTACTGAACTAAGCACTTAATGGTATATAACAATAAACGATATTCTGAAAGAGTAATTGATAAACAATAAGGTGTAACATTAACGATGAAAATAGCAAATGAAACGAACATAGTCAGTCTAGCGACGCTGTCTCCGACAGCCGGCAGTGTTCGTTGCGTATAAATAGCGTTCAGCGCTACAAACAGCGAAGCACTCACCCCGAAAATCACACCAATCACCGACAACGAACCTGAAACTCGGTTAATTCTCATTGCCGTAACAACAGCAAGCAAACAGAAATACGCAGAGCAAAAAAAAAACAAAACAAATCCGACCTGCCGCATCCTCTTGGTCAACACCCAGAAAAAAACCACCAATAATAGTGGCACAACAGAAGAGCGCTCGCCACGACGTGGTTTGTCCCAGAATCAAATAGGAACAGACCTGAAGTGAGTAGTGCACACGGTACGAATTTGTTGCAATTGTCAGAGTGACACATTGAAACGTACCACATTGAAGACAGTCGTCAGCGATCGTCCAACGTAATAAAACGAAACACCAACATGTTTCAAACAAAGATTATTCGTTGCTATCATCGCCACGAATACGAATGAAAGTGGTAACACCTTAAATTTACTTTATCACAGAGTAGTCACCCTTTCATTGAAATATTTTTAATGGACGAAGTGTACTTGATGAAGGTTGGTTTAAATCTAAGATTGAATACAAAAAGAAAGCAATCATAGTGATTAACCTCTCGCGATATCCGATGATCGAATGAGATTGATGGAAAATTGAAACGTGATGGAAACAAATTGGATAGATACGAACAAATATAACATAAAACCACTGTGACCAGACATTGGTACCACGTTACAAATAACGGAGCATTCAGCTGAAAATTGAGACAACAATTTATTAGCTGATTGTGAGCTGTTCCACGGCTACATTCCTTTCGTTTAATACTTGAGTTCAGAGTAGAAATACTGACAGAAGCAGTTATTTCATAGAAAAGAGAGTTCTCCAGTGAAATGAAACATGAGATTTGCGGTTTCTCTAGTCAAAAAATGAGATTTCAGATTTGTCTAGTCAATAAAGAAGATAAAATTGGAAGCAAACCTTGAGCGATTGACTGCTCAGAAGGTATTTGTTCAGGAAGACAAGACCCATTGAACACATCCTGAAGATTACTTCTCTTCAGTTGAAATGCACCAGAAAATCTGCGTGATAAAGAATTGAAACTGAATCGGTTCGATTCAAATAGAGCAAAAAATTGACTAACCAATAAGCGGATACGGCTAAAAAAATGACCACATATTTGCGGGTGAGTGATGAATCTTGGTACCGACTGTTGCCCATTTCTTTTTGACGTTGCAACGAATCCGTGACTGCAATTGAGTCTGACATTATAGAGGATACA